TTTTTTTTTTTTTTTTAATTTTTTTTTCAACGTTTATTCATTTTTGGGACAGAGAGAGACAGAGCATGAACGGGGGAGGGGCAGAGAGAGAGGGAGACACAGAATCGGAAACAGGCTCCAGGCTCTGAGCCATCAGCCCAGAGCCCGACGCGGGGCTCGAACTCACGGACCGCGAGATCGTGACCTGGCTGAAGTCGGACGCTTAACCGACTGCGCCACCCAGGCGCCCCTCTTCTGCTATCTTAAGAAGCAGAAATTCTCAGCATTAAAACGCCAAAAAACAAACAAACAAAACCCAGGATGTGATCCAGAGATTAAAAATAAATAAGCATCTGCAGACGAGAGACACCTACGTGAAGCTAATACTCACTTTGTCTACACCAGCACTCAAAATGTAATTCCCCTTCTTGTTCCATTTCAAGGCAAAGATGGGGCCTTTGTGTTGCCCTAAGGTGCTGGCCAGGTTGCCTGTTACGTAGGGAAACAACAAACAGGTTGACTTCAAAGCCATGGTCGGCTCACTGGGTGATTCCACACTGGGGCACGCCTGCCCCCACCCCACACGAGGCAGGCCGGGCTCACCATCTTCCGTCCATATTCTCGCAAAACCATCATAGGAGCCTGTGGCCAACAGCGTCCCGTCGCTCTGCGGGCCAGAAAGAAACAGACAGCGCCGCCAACAGCTCAGTGGGGGCAGCGTCGAAAACAGAAGACGGCCTGTCAGCCGATCCCAGGGCGAGGCTACTCTCCCAGCAGGAGCTGGCTTCCAGGGAACGGACAGACCGACCCTGTGCGCCTCCTGGAGCCCCGAACCCACAACGTGAGGCGCTGTGAGGACAGGTGCAGGAACAGGGGAAATACTGCCACCGCTCGCCCCGGTGGCACAGTTACAACCACCGTATGAGACGTGACGGTAGCGAGGCTTAAGGAAGCTTTGAAAACCGTGCCTGCACATACGGAAGCGAAAGCGTAAAGAAGTCACGAAGGACCGTGGACTTCCCACGTCCAAATGCACGTGACGCCTGCTGTCGAGACAGCGAGGGGACACGTCCCCTTCCCCGGGTGGCGCCTCACATCCCGCCAGCGGAACGGGCCCCCCCCCCCCCAGGAAAACCGCCGGGCTCATCTTGCTTAATGATGGGAAGACGAGCCTCTGAACCCCCAGCCAGGGGTCTGCCCGACACGGCCTTGTGAGAAGCTCTCAGGAACAGAGAGCACCCGTACCACCGGCCCCCGGGCCAGGGGTGCTCGCCAACGGGACCGCCCGCTCCCCCGTGTTTGCAGGGGCGCCCCCGCGGTGCTGGAGGGTCTCCGGGGGCTTAAGCGTCTGGGTGGCGGCAGGGGCTTACGTTCCAGTCCAGGGAGGTCACGTCTTTATTACTGGGGACGTCGTGGCCCCCTTCTCGTATACAGTGCCTCAACACGAGCTGCGTGGAGCCCCCGTTGCTGTTCTCGTTAAGGTTCCATATCCTTGCCGTTGAGTCTCCGGATCTGCAGAATGAACACGCACCTGCACTCAGCGTCCGGGTCCAGTGGAAACAAAGCCCATCAGACTTCCGGGCGGCCTACGTCAGCTATCTCTGGCCCACGGCCTGTGTCTTCTTAACCACGCTCACTGGCCGTGTTTTCCTCCTCGCCACTTTTGCTGCTCTTAGTAATTTAACGTGTCTTTGCGCTGCTCTCCATGCCACTGAGAACACAGCGTGGAACGAGGACTCCCTCACAACCCGGGGAAGAGAGCGGCACAGAGAGCCCCAGGCCTTGCTCCGCACACAAAAGAGGGGAGCACTTACTCCATGAGGCACAGTTCCGGAAAGCATCTCGGACCCCACGGGCCCTGCAGCACCCACCACCTGGCATCCTTACCCTGAAGCTAGGAGATCGCTGACAGGGTTCCAGGCACAAATGAACACCTCGGACTCGTGGCCCCGAAGGACTGTGGCTTTGTTGGGTGGAATCTCAACGTCCCCGTCTATTTCCATTGGTTTCGAATGATTATCTGTCACAAGAAATAGGAAAAGACAATGTGGTGACCGGTATAAAAGCAGCGCATTCTTGGGGGCACTTGAGTCTTAGAAACACCTTCTTTTCGTGTACTTAGTTCTATTACCTCTGACGACGGTAACTGAATCCTGCTTTTGTGTAATGTAGTAAATGTGTTGCATTTTCTTAGTTCAACACTCTCCAAGTTTGATAGAGAAATACAAATTTATTTCTTCTTCCTAATTAGGGCCAGGCTAATGTCTAACCACCACCACCACGACACTGGGGAACAATGACGACAGCCAGCTAGAGCCTGAAGGTTGCTCTTTTCCAGATGGGGTGACACGTGTTATCTGCGAGCACCTTTTGGAGGTATCACCTTTTTTTTTTTTTTTTT